TGTGCTTGATATGTATCCCTCTTTACTCCCCCTGAGGGGCAGGCATCATTCTCCCCATTCTGCAGTTGAGCAAACTAAGGCACAGATCTATCTGGGAGCCTGTTGGGGTCAGCAGTGAGTCCATGGTAAAGGTAGGATGGAGCCAGGATTTCAACCCAATTCTGTCCAACTTGAAGGCCCAAGTTCTCAATCATTTCCTGTTAACTCTCCATCAGCCATGGTCATAAGAACCCATGGGCATGAGACTGTCATCCTGGGATAAGGACACAGCAATGGAGAGCCAGAGCCAACAGGCCACTCCTCACTCTGAGCAGAAGAGGATGCTCACCCACACCTCTTTATTGAAGGAAGAGGGTGTTTCTTCCAAGACAGGAAATATGCCTGGTTCTTAGTGAACAATTATCCCATCAAATGCATTATTTTAGGAAGTCGTCTTTGTCCTTAGGGTTGCTCAGAATAAAAATGTGGTTATACCTAGAGAATTATGACATTTTGTGGGGAAAGCTGACATCACCTTTGCATTCTGTAGGTGTTAACTGACATGGATTAGATACTGACAAAGCATTAAGTGCTGCAGGATAGAGGAGCAAAAATCCATTCCCATCAGGCAAGGTCCAGCAGCCACAGGGACGGGATGGCCATCACACGTACATTACTCTGTGATTGCATGCTGAGCTCTGCCCCCCTGAGACAGGACGGACTGTGGACTTCTCACCCACCTGTCTGTGAGAAGGTTGTTATTAACATTCAAATAGGAAAAGACATATGTGTGGCCTCCAGGGAAATGGAATCTTTAAAAAAAAAAGACCCCTTCCCCATAAGACTGAGGAAAGGAACTGTATCAAGAATAAGGCTTTCCATGGTAGCTAAGAAGTTGCTTGCCTGGAGATCTGAATGGGTGAGCAAGAATGTCAGGCAGCTCATTGGTAGAGGGACACGGGGGTTCCAGGTAGTCATGGGAAACCCAGGGATGGGCAGAGGGGTGCAGGCTGAAGGCTTCTGGGCATGAATTCTCATGGTATAAATGCAGCAAG